AAAAAAAAAAAAAAAAAGAGCCGAAATTTAAATCCAGGCCTCACTGCCTGGCTAACAATTCCAATTTGCCTACGATCCAGTCCAGCGCGGCGTCCAGCTCAAATTCTTTGAAATTAGGCCCAGTCCCCCCTAACTGTCAAACGGAACAACGGGTTGTCAAACGCTTCCTCCCAAAGTGAACCCAAAGTGTGGAAGTTCACGAAGTTCACCAAGTAAAGTTGATTTGTTTGTGCTTCGTTTCGACTCTATTTATCCAATGGTGTGTCGCTTCATTTAATTGAGCCAATTTTTGCATCATGGTGAGGTAGACATTAAGGACACTAGTGAATGACCTGATGATTAGAACGCGGAAGCAAATAATGCGGCTGTGTTTATTTGTCTTTCTTCCGTTGCTTGCTCGTGGAAATGAATTGCTGGGACATTTAGAGCCATTATTCTCACACGGTAAGAGACTGGAAGTGGAAGTGTACGATGGATTTCCAGCAGCGGAAGAATTCTTCAAGAGATTCGTGGACAATGCAAAGCCAGTTCTGTTTCGCGGGGGAGCCATGTTATTCCCAGCTTACTCCTTGTGGAATGACGAGTATTTTCTTTCCTTTCCTGAAAGCGAGGAAAGTCTGGTGACAGTGGAAGTTGAGAAGAAAGAAAATCGTTCAGCTCCTGGGGAAGACATTCCATTTGCAGACTTTGTTCGAGAATTGCACTCGTCTGGGAAATACATGATTAGCTCAGTGCCAGAATTCCTCAGGTAATCTATAAAACCCGAGTCCAGCAAAAGTCGACATTTAAAGCTGCACTCAGCAAAATACTGGTGCCATCCATTTGCAGCGACGTTTCAAGTGAGAAGTCCCTCTTTATTATCTCTAGCTCGCCTCCTCCCACGGCAGTTTCAGCAGTTTTGAAATATGTTGTTGGCTGTGTAACTTTATAGGGAGGTGGCGGGCAGCAGGTATATTTTGCAGGTTGTAGGTTGCAAGTTGAAACGACTTGTTTATTTGAGTTGAAGTCCAATAAACCCCAGTATAAAGGCTAAGCAACCTGAGCTAATTTGAGCTAACCCGTAGTGCTATTCAGGCTAACCAAAGTGCTAAGTAGACTCACTCGGACTTGAAAGTGGAGTTTTCAACCTGCAATCTGCTAAACGTACCTGCCTGGGGGGGAGGGGCGGGGGGGGGGGGGGG